CTTGAATGTCCCTGTTTTGAGCAGCTCTCCCTTTCCCCACAGAAGTGGGTTCTGCAGGGATATCGCGGTTCTGGCCAGGATGGTTTAAAGACTCATGTTGGGGGTGGTACCCATAGCTTGTGGGACGGGATAGGCACTTCCTCTCCTTTCAGTGTCTCAGCTCTGCCTAATTTGCTGCCACCCTCTTGCTGCAGGAGGGGTTTTTAAAAAATTTTTAAATCAGCCCCCTTGGCACTCCAGTCTTTTAGCATGGCATCTCCCACAGGGTGAGGCCTCTGCCCAGACACCCACCAGGCCAAAAGTCTGAGTCCCCTGTGCCACCAGGTTGCAGATTTCCAGCCCAGAGCCCTTACCCTTTGCCTTGCATGGCAGCGGGATGGGGCAGAACCAGCCTTCCCCAGCGCTCAAGTTGGGGAGGACTGATCCTCTTCCCTGGGGCACACTGTCCAGCCCTATCCTGCTCTCCACCAAAAGTACTTTCGATCTGCTGCCCTAAGTACCACCTCATGGCCCCTCCTGCAGGCACAGTCTCTTCAAACTTTTTCATTGCTTTGGATCAGTGGATACAAATACTATCCTGATGTATCAATTAGTGCTTTGCACTGTCCTGTATGTGTCTTTTGTGTTGCTGGTTTACCTGCTAACTGGGCATTCTCTAGGACAGTGATTTTCAACAAGTTTCCCATGAGAATTTTTAAAACCTGCAGTATCTGACTATTTAGTCAGGGGCACTGACCTATTTTCCCTTAGATTGTCAAATTTAAAAAAATGACAACAGCCAACACAACAGTAGCTGTCCGGTGTGAATGAATAAAAAATATACCTATTTTTTTTGTTAGATCGGCAAAAATTATATTTTTGGTGTGCCGCAGAATTTTAGTAATTCATTTATGTGTGCCATGAGATAAAAAAGGTTGAAAATCACTGCTCTAGAACTCTGTTGGGCTGTGACTTTTCTTTCTCTGAATAACTTCTAAGAACTGATCATTCTCACCTGTTATTGCTGTTATCTCAGTGTAAATGCCTTTATAATCTCTGAGTCCACCCTCTTGGGCACACCCCTTTCCTTGGACCAGCTTCACTTTACTCTGCTGCTGTCCTTGTTGAAAATGCCTTTAATTTGTTATTACCTGTCTGCCTCTCAAGTGTCTTCTCTGTGGAGCTGCCACTCTCCTAGCCAGTCATGGCTTGACACCCCAGGCAGGGACTTTTTCCTCTTGCATTCCTTGAATCCATCAAGATACCAAGTGTGTTCACCTTTTCTCTGAAAATGTCTCCAAAGAGGGTCTCATTGTCATTCTGGCTTCCTTTGCTCTAATCCAAGTCTTCATAAATTCTTAGGCTCTTAACTGCTTTTCCCTATCTGGCTCCTTCAAAGCCATTTTGCTACTATCCAATTCTATCATATCCAATTCCTGTTCCAAACTGCCACTTGCTTCTCACTCCAGAATTCTTCACCCTTACTTTTTTTTTTTTTAATCTTCACCCAAGGATATGTTTTCATTGATTTTTAGAGAGAGAGGAAGGGCGGAGGGTGGGGGGTGGGGGGCAAGAAACATTGATGTGAGAAATATTGATTGGTTTGTGTGCCCTGGGGATCAAACCTGCAACCTAGGTATGTGCCCTGACTGGGATTCAAACCCACAACCTTTCAGTGTATGGGACAGCCCTCCAATCAACTGAGCCACCTGGCCAGGGCCAGCCTCACTTTCGAAGGCTTCTCCATCCTTGTTCACTGTGTAACCCACTTAGCTTTGTGTGTGCATTGCTGTTGCACAGTACCAACCCTCCACTAAGAAAGCTTCCCTGTTTCTACCACAGCGGTTCCCTATTCTAATTCCTTTAGCCCTCTGCCCATCTTCCCCCTTCATGCCCATCCTTTTCAACACCTTCACAGAAGCTTTCTCCCTGCTCTGTTCCACACTACGCCTTGATTTTTAGCACTTTTATGTAATACTAACTTTGCATTTTCCATATTGATACTATCAGTCCAAAGCTCCTTATCTCTAATTCTAAAATCCCACATGGTTGGAAAAGTGAAAGCTATCTAATAACCTTGGCACAAAACTTGGGCAAAACAGCTCTGAGTGGATGTGAACTCTTTTTTATTTATTTATCCCATCTGGTGTGACTGTTTATACATTCTGCTACAGAAATATGAATTTCATTACAGGGCAGTTGGACAGGGTGGAAAATAAAGGGAACTTATCAACCCTCACTTTTTGGAACTGCCAAGTTTCTCTAGTATTATGCTTCTCAGACTGGGGTACCTGTACCTATGAGAGTGTGCAGGGAACATAGGGAGTTACAGTAGATACCTGCTTGATTGCCAGGAGGGTCAATTTTGATGATCTGAGGGAAAATAGGAAATATTAAAGAAAATGTAGTAAGGTACAAAATTTTCATGCATTTAAAAGATCAAAGATGAGATTTCAGAGAAATGCAGGTACTATGGTCAGGTGGTAAGAAACTTCTTCATTCTCCTCACCTGGGGGGCTCAAGCACTGTTCTTATTCAGAAAACCCTAACAGTTTGCATTGTTGTGTTTCTCACTGTCTGGCCTCTGGGTTTTGTACTTCTAAACTTCTCTAGGACCACACAGGATGGCAAAAACTGTTGATACTATGACTGTGTGGAAGAAAGAATAACACTAGTTCATCAGTCAGGCTGACTTTAACAAGAAAGGAAGATGTATAAAAGTAAAGGCCAAGAAAGATTACTTAGAAAAATCAGTTGTGTCTTAAGGAGGCTAAACTTGACAACACAGGCGAATTACTCAGGTTGATTTCCAAAGTTGTGTCTTTAGGTACCCCAAATACCTTTCATACTTTTTGTTTGGTTGATTTGTCCCCCCGCCCCCAGTTTTATCGAGAAATAATTGACATACATTCCTGTATAAGTTTAAGGCACACAGTATGAAGAAATGATTATCACAGTAGGTTCTGCTAACTTCCAGCTTCATATATAGGTAACAATAAAGAAAAGGAAGAAAAAAGGAAAAGCATTTTCCTTGTGATGAAAAGTCTTAGGATTGAACTCTCTTAACAACTGTGTGTCATACAGCATTGTTAGCTATAGTCATCATGTTATACATCCCTAGTACTTATTTATCTTATAACTGTAGTTAATGCCTTTTGACCACCTTCCTCCAGTTGCCCCTCCCCCCATCCTCTACTTCTAGTAACAAATCTGGTCTCTTTTTCTGTGAGCTTGATTATTTTTTATTTTTTATTTAGAATCCACATATAAGTGAGATCATACAATATTTGTCTTTCTCTGTCTGACTTATTTCACTTAGCGTAATGCCATGTTATTGCAAATGATAGTATTTCCTTTTTTTAATGTCTGAATAATATTCCATTATATATGTATATTACAGATTGTTTATCTGCCCACCCATCAATGAACACTTAGTTTGTTTCCATGTTTTGGGTATTTTAAATACTGTTGCCATGAGCATGGGGGTGCAGCTATCTTTTCTACTTAGTGTTTTCATTTTCTTTGGATACATTCCTGAAATGGAATTGCTGGATCAAATGGTAGTTCTATTTTTAATTTTTGAGGATCCCCTTTTCCATAGCCTCTACCAATTTACAGTCCCACCAACAATGCAAAAGGGTTTCCTTTTCTCCACATTCACACCAGCATTTGTTCTTTCTTGTATTTGCTGATGATCAATCTAATAGGCTCGAAGTGATATCTCATTGCAGTTTTAATCTGCATTGTCCTAATGACTAGTGATGTTGAACATTTTTCCATATACTTATTGGCCTTTCATATATCTTCTTTGGAGAAATGTCTTTTTAGGGCCTTTGCCCATTTGTTCTTTTGCTATTGAATTGTATAAGTTCTTTATATATTTTGGGTATTAACCCCTTTTCAGATATGTGTTTTGCAAATATTCGTTCCCATTCTGTATGTTGTCTTTTCACTTTGTTGATGGTTTATTTTGCTGTGCAGAAGTTTGATGTAGTTTCACTCATTTTTTAATTTTTTATTTTTGCCTGTGCTTTAGGTTTCATGTCCAAAATATTACAAAGACCTGTGTCAAGGATCTTTATTCTTATATTTTCTTCTATGAGTTTTATGGTTTCAGGTCTTACATTTAAGCCTTTAATCCATTTTGAGTTTTTGTGAGTGGTATAAGATATGTGTCCATTTTTATTTTACATGTATGACTATCCAATTATCCCAGCACCATTTATTGAAAAAACTGTCTTTTCTCCATTGAGTATTCTTGGCTCCCTTGTCAAATAGTAATTGACTGTATGTGCTGGGGTTTATTTCTGGGCTCTCAGTTCTGTTCCATTGGTCTATTTGTCTATTTTTATGCCAGTACCATACTGTTTTGATGACTTTGGCTTTCTAATATAGCTTGAAATCAGGAAGTGTGGTACCTCCTACTTTGTTCTTCTTTTTTAAGATTTTTTTTTTTTTCTTTTTGGCTATTTGGGGTCTTCTTTGCTTCCATATAAACTTTAGGAGAATTTTTTCTATCTCTGTAAAAAATGCCATTGATAGGGATTGTATTGATTCTATAGATGCCTTTTGATAGTATTGATGTTTTAACAATATCAGTTCTTCCAATTCACGAACACAGGATACCTTTCCGTTTGTGTCTTCTTTGATTTCTTTCATTAATGTCTTGTAGTTTTCAGTAGAGATCTTTCACCTCCTTAGTTAAATTCATCCTAAGTATTTTATTGTTTTTGATGCTAATGTAAATGTGATTGATTTCTTTGTATCTTTTTCAGAAGATTTATTGTTAGCATATAGAAACACTACTGATTGTTGCATGTTAATTTTGTATTATGCAACTTTACTAAAGTCATTGATTAGATCTGTTTTTATTTTTTAGGATTTTCTGTATATAAAATTGTGATATCTGCAGATAGAGACAGTTTTACTTCCTTTTTGTTTGTCTTAATTAAGCATTACTGCAAATGTTTATATTTACCATGTTTTGTGCTATATTGTTGTGTTCTATTTTGCTTTTTTAGTAGGCAACAAATAATGGCGGCAGCTACAGGGGATCCTGGACTCTTCAAATTGCAGTTTGCCCCCTTTAACAGTGCCTTGGATGTTGGATTTTGGCATGAGTTGACCCAGAAGAAGTTGAATGAGTATCGGCTAGATGAAGCTCCCAAGGACATTAAGGGTTATTACTACAATGGTAGGCAATATTAAACTTCATCTTCCGTTATCTTCTGTTATCTTCTCTGCCCTCTAGTATTGGGTCAGCTTTCCTTTAACAAGGGACATCCTTTCTTTTACAATAATAGCCTACCAGTTTCTATTTTACTTCCTGACTTTTGACCCAAGTTTATTTTTACTTCTTTTTCCCTGTTGTGGGGAAAAGAAAGGGAGAAGTAATATTAATTCTTTGGATTGCTAGGAGAAAAGATTGGAAATATTTTTTTCCAGTGACTTTTTTTTCTATATTATTGGCAAATTTCTCAAATTCACAAAAGCTCTGTCATTGTATGCTAAGTCTGACTTGTTTAGTTTGGATAACCAGGAATTGGGTGGGGCACTTTGGGCTCAACAAAAAGAACAAAATTATTCACAAATGTTTTCATTATGAATGCTGCTATTAATGACTTATGATTGAAAATGTGATACTGCTTCTGTGCAGGTGATTCTGCCGGGCTTCCAGCTCGCTTAACATTGGAGTTCAGTGCTTTTGACATGTGAGTATTTTTTACTTAAAAATCTATAGTGCAGGAACACTGTTTGCTTTTTTCAAGGAATGAGCATTCTTAACCTTCCTCATAGGTGAACCACAATGAAACTAGAGGAGCTCCCGGTGAGCAGAGCCAGTTCCTCATGATTCTCTTTACTTCTCATAACACAGAGACAAGTGCTAGATGCTTACAACTGATTTATTTTTTCAGCGGGTATTTATCAGATCCTATTTGGTGCCACGTACCACCTAGTTTGATTGAGGCTTAGATAACATTCCTCCTGGTTTTGATTGTAGTTAGTCTTTTCTGTTTTTTTATTGTACCTCTTGACATTCCTTTAGTTGCTTATCCATGGGTATCAATGAATGTTTATTAGGTTATTTCTGTATAGAAGCTACTGTGCAAGGCATTATAAAGTTCAACACATTTTATTCCTTTATCTCAAATTATAAAATTAGATTCCATAACATAGATGCAAAACAATGTTAGTCTTTATATCTTTAAAATGTTAAGTGTTGGTCCATAATAAATTCCTGTGATTACTTATCAAAACAAATTAAATCCTAGTAATCTCTGCCCTGTTTTGGTAAAGACTCACTTAATTTTGTAGCAACTGCAAGATAATGAGAAAAATACGGACAGTATGCAAGCAATAAATTATCTGAATGAAGATGGTAAAGTAGGGAATATCAGCCGTGTAGTTTCAGTATAATCTGGAGAGTCTAACATTCATCATAGCCTCACTCCTATCTTTATTCTGATACTAGACTGAAGGTTATTTTTTAAAAGATATTAATAGTTTTGTTCTTTGGAACAATTATAGAAAAAAGCAGTTCACAGAAGTTAGGCTTGGTCTTATTACAAAATTCAAGCATCTTAAATTTTAGTGATCCAGACATTTTAGTTGAAAGAAGGAAAAATATCTGTGTTCCTGCAGCTATGACTTTCACATAAATTGCTTGGTTTTTCTCATCATACTTGTTTATTTAGCTACTGAATACTCACAGGATGTGAGGCTCCCTGGTAGGCACTGGGAAAGATCAGCAAGAATAAGATGTGGGCCCTAGTGTTGGGAAAATAGCCCTGGATTTGAAGTTCGAAGACTTTGTATCTATCTACAGCTGATTAACCAAGTTACCTAGAATAAGTCCTTTTAGTTTTTTAGCTTCAGTTTCCTCATCTTTAACTCTCAGCTTCTAATGTTCCTTCTAGTTCTAAAAGCCTGTGATTTTCTGAGTCCCTCTTTCCTAGGATGGTTGGTACTATGGTCTGAATATTTGTGTACCCCCAAATTCATATGTTGAAAACCCAAAGCCCAAGGTTATAGTTTTTAGTGGTGGGGCCTTTGAGAGGTGATTAGATCATGAGGGCAAAGCTCTCACAAATGGGATTAGTGCCCTTATAAAAGTGGCCCCAGAGAGCTAGCTTACTGCTTCAGCCATGTGAAGACAGAAAAAAGTGGGCAGTCTGTGACCAGAAGAGCACCTTCACCAGAACCCAACCATGCTGATACTTTGATTTTGGGCTTCCAGCCTCCAGAACTATGAGAATATATTTCTATTGTTTATAAGCCAGCCATTCTATAGTATTTTGTTATAGCAGCCTGAACAGACTAAGATAGTTAGGAAGTTTAATGAATGCACTTAGAGCTCCTCAGAAGAAATGAGTTTTTTATATCCAAATTATTTTTTTTTATTATTGCACTTTCTTTATTTTTATTACTGCACTTCTGCATGGGTTTGTAGGAAAATCTTTATGAATTTATTCATCAAACACTGAATGCTGCTTATGTGCAAAATGTGTAGGTGTTAGGAAAACAAAGACTTATGAAACATGGAGCTCTGGAAGGGCCCTGGATTGAACTAGAAGACAAATATTTGCATTATAGTGTGCTTTGTGCTGTAATAAATATGGAGAGGTAATAGTTATTTCAGAAATACTTATTGTTTCCTCTGTGTCTTGATAATAAAATGTGCTAGGCACTGGGTGTACAGAGAGGAGTAAGATACAGTTGAAGAGCTAACAGTCCTAGTTGTCACTTACAGATGCCATCAGTATCTCAGCTTTGCATAGCAGCAGATAAATCCCTTTTACTCTGAGTCCCTGGAAGCTTTGTGGATCTCTGCCAGAAGGTAGCAACACAGGATCCTGTTCTCTACATTGTATTAGGTGAATGATCAGTCAGGCACCAACTGTCTTGCATTGGAGGGTGCTATTTTGGGGTAGAGTGTACTACTGCACTAGACTCCAGAATGTAATGGCTCAAACACAGAGAAAGTTCTTTTCTTGCCTACTTCATAGTCCTGGGTGGTGGTCCAGTCTTCTTTCCTCTTATGGCTTCATCATTCTAGGGGGCTTGTGTTTGTGTGCTGCTTAAGACGGAATTGTATCTTTCAGGTTATAATAGATAGAAAGGGAAAAAGAGCCAGGGTGAAAACAGGTGGAAGAAACCTACCCAGTCTCTTAAAGGTCCTAGCCAGGCAGGGACGTGCACCACTCCACTTGGATTCTGCTGGGGAGAGCACAATGCCTCAAATATCTTGCAAGGAAGCTTGGGAAATGTGGTGTCCAGCTACCAGCATCTTGTATGTATTCTGTTTCTGTTTAAGAAGAGGAGAATAGATTTTGGTGGACAATTTCTGTATAAACATGAAACTAGTTTTTTAAAAAAGTTTTTCTTTCCCTGGGCCTCTTTCCCTTGGTTTTTAGGCATAAGAACTATTTTTCTTCTCTAAGCCTCAAGTTGGACTCAATTAGAGAAAAAGAGGGCCCTCAAAAACCTAAACAGTAGCTAAGGAAGTAAGACTCATGCACAAAATTACCTGTTTCTTATTCTCTGCTATCTCACTAGTACCTAACACAGATCCTGACATGTACTAGTTGCTCAAAAAATTGTTGTATTTAGTTACAAGCAGTCTAATTGCATGGCTGTCAAAATGAGATAGGGTGTGGCTGATGGAAGGATACCAGTGGACTCTGTTAGAGGATGTTATCATCAGAAACTCAGATTATCATGGCAAGCGGGAAATAATGCAGCATGCTCCCAGACTGAGTATGACTTCCCAGGTTCCCAGAGTTCCCAGTGGCCATGCAAAGCTGTGGAGTAAGATTCCTGCAGGTGTGAAAAGCGACCTCTGCCCTTCTGGAGGATTCATTCTGTCCTGGCCACCGCCACTGCCTGCCTGTTCCAGAGGCTTTGGCTCATGCCTGGTTTGGCCAAGTGTAAGTAACAGGTGCAAAACAATCTCAGTACTTTCCTGAGTAATCACTGGGAGACTGAGTGAAGTAAAGGCATAGTTTTCAGCGATAACAGATCTGGGCTCAGGCCTCTATGAGATCCATTCTTTACCAGGTTAATGTACACATCATTGTAATGTACACATAATGTACACATTCACTGTTGGCTGTAGGGAAGATTTCTGATTCTGATTTTTTAAACAGCTTTACTGAGGTAAAATTTATATACCATAAAAGTCACCCTTTAAAATGTACAATTCAGTGGTTTTTAGTATATTCACAAGGTTGTGCAAACCACCACCATGGTTTAATTCCAGAACATTTTCATCACCCTCCAGAAGAAACCCTGTACCCATTAGTAGTCACTCGTCATTCCTCCCTTCCCCCAACCCTAGGCAACCACAATCTACTTTCTGTCTCTATGGATTTGCCTATTCTGGACATTTCATGTAAGTGGAACTGTAGAAAACTAAACTAATAAGTGTTCAGGACTAGAATTTGAACTAAATTATCTTGTTTCCGAGTCTAAGGCTCTTTCTAGGTCTCATCTGAGCCACGTCTTTGTGGAACAAGTGGAACAAGTGGAACTTGAACCTTGAGAAACTGGTAGAATGGTTTTCCCTCCCATTATCACTTTCTAAATTTGTTTCCCTGGACACTTCCCCTGCTGGAACTTTAATCATGAAAAATGCTTCTCCTTTGAAACTTCCTCTTGTCCTCAGTAATTGCATGAGCACTGATGATCTAGGAATGTAGCTGACCTGGCAGTTGCTTGAATTCTCATGATGTGGTTTCTTCCACTCTCAGAGCAAGGCTTTGGCAATGCTTTCACACACCCAGGACTTTTGGACATTTAGGAAGGAGGGTACATTCCTCCTCTTCTGCTTGTATCCAAATTAGATCTTAACCTCCTTCCTTCTGTTTCAGCAGCAATTTCATAAAGTTGCCTGATGTAGAAGGTCTAGTTTATCAACTGCTCCACTTCCTTCTTCTTTCCTCTAGTCTTAATCTCACTTCTTCTGGATATCATTTTCTCATCAAGACTATCTTTGATGGCCTCATTTCACCTGGATGAAAAATATTCTTATGTTGGAGTAGAGTGGTGACAAACAACCTGTGATTGCTGATTTGTCAGCTCTCAAAGGAAGGCTCTGGCCATTGAAAGTTGCTCACCCCTAGGACTTGGCATTTGAGCCTTATAGACTGCATTTGGCAGAATCTTTGTCACTCGTTGCACCCCTTCACACCTGTTCTAGGCTTAGATCTCTTCTTGCAGCCCACCCCCACCCCAATTTTACACAGACTTTAAATGAAGAGACACTGGGTCTTTTAAACACAGCTACCATCAGTGCAATAAATAACAGTGCATTTTTTCACAGTGGTTCTTAAGTGACAGCAATATTAGGCTGCTGAGATGGTATTTTCTTTTAGCATCTATAACTACTGAGCACAAGTTAATCATTTTATAGAAGAGACCAGATTTCTCCACATCTGAGTTTGTGTTCAGAATCAACTCATCTTTCCCTCTCCTGACTTTGATTATTCTGAAGACTGTGAGGTCTTCCAGGGCATTGTACAGTACCCGTGTGGCATGATGAATTGTCAGGTAGCTTGGTGTAACACATTTTGTCTGTGTGGCTCTACCAAGGGGTATATACAGCTCTGTGCAGAGCCTGTTTGGGCTGGGCTTGGTTGTGGGACAGTCAGAAGAGGGGGACGTGTTCCCTGCCCTCAAGGAGCTTACTGTCCTCCAGTTGGGTGGATATAGTCATACTGTCTTGGAAACACTCTAAAATATTATGCTCAGTTTTATGTGTGAACTATTACCAAAGACAATGGGAGATGGCTTCCTGGGAGAGGAAGGTTCGGAACAGGGCCCGGGGAGGGCTTGAGTGAGGAGTGGGGAGCATAGCACTTCAGAGTTAACTAGTTCTGACTTTAGATTCCAGCTCTACCTGTTCTTATATGACCTTAGGCAAGTAACTTAAACCTTGAAATAGGAGAACAAGCTGTTATGAGAATTCAAACCTTGTATAGTTCTTGGCACAAGCTTAATAAATAATGTTTCCTTTTCAGGTTAAAGATGGGAAAGAATAACAAATAGAGAAAGAACTTATATTTGGGGGCAATGGAAGAACAGTATGCTAAGAGATTAGGGTAAGGGGAATATAGAGGCTTTTGGGAGGTGCAATGCCTGTTTTTATTTTTTAAGCAATAATATTCATTTTTTTCCAAAGAAATGTACAGTCAGTCTGTTTGCCCCTCCAGAGCACTGTCCTCTGTCTCTCACTGTTGTGCTGGTTTGTTTGTCACTCCCTGGCTCTCTGGGTCCCAGCTGTGCCTGCTTAACCTTGTTTCTGTTATATCCAGGAGTGCTCCCACCCCAGCCCATTGCTGCCCGGCTGTTGGAACACTGTATAACACCAACACACTCGAGGCTTTCAAGGCTGCAGATAAGAAGCTACTTTTGGAACAAGCAGCAAATGAGGTTAGCTGGGAAAACATGATGTAGTCGTTGTATTTTCTGTGGTCCTCAAGGCATGGTGTTTCTGATCAGGTGCAGGGATCTGTCATAGAAACTAGTATATAGTTGGTCCTCAAAGATAGTTGGCTTCTGCGTTGGTGAGAAGGTCAGGGATAAGACACTGAGACTCTCACCTGGGTTTAGGCCAGAATACAGGGCAGTGTGTGAAAAGCTTTGCTGCTGATCTCCAATTATAACATTTTGAAACAACTTGACCCTCTGTCTGAGAGTTCTGTTTCTATGTCCGAATGCATTTGGATTCTCTGTTCTTTGTGCCCCTGGATGAGACTTTCTAGTCTAAGCACTGTAGTGCTGTCAGAGGTGGTTGTATAGCCTCTTCAGTATCCTCAGGGCTAAATCTAAACCACTCCAGCTGATTTACCAGGCCCCTCATGGCCTGGTCTCTGTGGCCTTTCTGTCCTATCACTCTTGCCCTCACCTTTTTTGACCCAGTCACAGTAAATCACTTCTCATTCCTTCCTTCACCTGCTTTTGTTCTCTCCTCTTTCCTCAGGACATGATGTTCTCTCTACCTGGAATGTTTTACTTCTTCATATCTGAGTCTATGTGAGGAATTAAAATGGGGGGACAATTTATTCCCATCCCCTCTAACCCACTTAATCGAGTGGTCTTTACGCTAGTCTTAAAAAACAAAAACAAAAAAGATTCTTTCCCTGACCAGGGAGGCTTAGTTTGGTTGAGTGCTGTTCTGTGAACTGAAAAGTCACTGGTTTGATTCTCAGTCAGGGTATATACCCAGGTTGCGGGTTCGATCACTGGTCAGGGTGTGTGCAGGAGGCAATTGATGTTTCTCTCTCTCTCCCTCTCTGAAAAATCAATAAAAATATATTTTAAAACAGACCAAAAAATGACTCTCACTTATGTGGGTGCCATGGTTAGAGAAGGAAGTTTCCTGCCTTTGGTCTTGAAGAAGGTGCCCCTTATGTCCCTCACAGTGGATGCAGCTTGTGACTCAAGTGATGATGGTTGTTCTTCTTGGCCTGCAGCTTGACTGTTCCTGGGCTCTTTGTTTTGGCTGAACATTTATCTTCTTTTTTTTTTTTTTTAATTCTCATTAGAGGATATTTTTTCCATTGATTTTCAGAGAGAGTAGAAGGAGAGAGAGAGAGAGAGAGAGAGAGAAAGAACATCAATGTGAGAGAGACACATCGTTGCCTCCCACATGTGCCCTAACTGGGGCCAGGGATTGAGCTTGCAACTGAGATGCATGCCCTTGGCTGGAATCGAACCCAGGACCTTCATCCTGTGGGCTGACGCTCTACGCACTGAGCCAAACCAGATAGGGCTTGGCTGCACATTTAAAAGGCCATCTCCAAAGTTGGGTCAGACCTTAATCCATCATGGAAAAAACAGGTTGCCCCCCACAAGAGTCCTCACTCTTTGCCTAGAGCTCAGACTTTCCCACAGTTCCCCTCACTTGGCTTATCAGAAACTAGGGTCTGCTCTTCAGCAGAGCAGCACCACAGTATTTCAATAGCAGGAACTTCTCTTTGCTTATTTCACTCTTCCATCCAAATGGTTCTTAAGACCCATTTGTTTGTCTTGCATAGTGACATAACATTTAGCAACTAATCTTAGCTACTAAAACGTCTTGTGACCAGCAGCTGCTGACCAGTACCAGCTTCTGCTTCTAGTCACAGCACTTGCTGAGTATTCATGAATTTGAAGTTCATTCTCTTTCCTTCCTATCTCGGGGTGAGATAATCCCAAATAAGACTTTAAGAAATCTCCTCTGCATAGTTCAAATCACTGCCTTCCAGAGCCCTCGTTGGCTCTTTTCCCGCCCACCTCCCAGCCCAGTTTGGTGTTCCTCCCAGGAATTCTACATCCTTCTGTGATAGCACATCCTACCTTATGGTGTACTTGGACATTTATGCCTGAATCTCTCACTAGACTATAAGCTTCTTGAGGGTAGGGACTGTGTTTTTTATTTTTATAACCCTCGTGTGCCTGGTATATACTAGGAAACAAGTAAATATTTGTTGAAGGAAATAATGAAAGGCATGAAAATGGCCTAGTTGCCTCCTCTGATGCTGAAACCCACTGAGAGGAGGCCTCTGGGTTCTCTCACTTTCCTCAGCCTGTTATGTGAGTGTGGCTGGTGGAGAGGGGTGGGAAATGGGAAGAGTGAGGTAATGACCCACTTCATTGTCTGGGATAAGTGTTGCTGGGCCTGTAGGAAAGAAGAGTTTGGGGCTGTACAGCTCTGTGCTTCTCTTAAGAGTGAGAGACTCAGAGATGCCTGATATCCTACCTTGACACTTTTTTTTCCCTTCTGGCAGATATGGGAATCCATAAAATCAGGCACTGCTCTTGAAAACCCTGTTCTCCTCAACAAATTCCTCCTCTTGACATTTGCAGTAAGTAAATGGACTCTGGGTCACACTTAGATTGTTCAAATGCCCTGGCCAAACCCATTGTGCCAATAGAACAGTCTGCTGTCTTCTCCCTGAAGCTTTTACCTTGTGTCATTCAAGTCACGGCTATTAAATGTTCATTTGGCTAGTGGCCCAATATTGCTGGCCCTTATTACCAGTGCAAAATTAATTAATTCTTACTGATCATACTGGTATACTCATACTACTGGTAATATTTGTATGGTTTATATAGTGCAGTCATCAGACTCTTGTCATTCAGGACACCATAGAGTCAGATTCAGGAAGTAGTGGTTTGTTGTTGCTAACGTTTTTGTTAAATACAGTCCTGCAGAGCTCAGTGCTGGGTCCATTGACATAAAGAAAAGGTGATATCTTAGGAAACCCGGTCATCCCCAAGCAGCTGTAGACTAGAGGAGATGACACTACATTGCTTGTCCACACAATTGTGTTTTTTTAAGAAGGAAAAATGTTTTACATAAATGAGACCTAATTAAAATGAACATTGAGGACAGCCTTGAAGAGGAAAAGAAATCACACTAGGGTAACACCTGCTGCCTAGGGTAGTAAGGGAAACAACCTGGTCTTGGTGATGGGGAAAGTGATATGGGTAGAATGTAGAGATACTAGCTACACACACACACACATATGTGTATATGTACATATATATGCACAGGCATACCTTGGAAATATTGCAGGTTTGGTTTCAGACTACTACAATGAAGCAAGTATTGCAATAAAGCAAGTCATAATCTTTTGCTGGTAGAGGGTCTTGCCTTCAATTTGTAAAATGCAACATCTGTGAAGCATAATAAAGCAAAGTTCAATAAAACACTGTATGTTTTATATGTGTGTCTCTATAATCTACATATAAAACTAATTTTTCTTCTGTAATAAAGCACAATTACATAATATTCTGTCAAGTGTATATTCTATAGATTCTTGTACAGCTAGGTTGTTTCTAATAATTACTTAAAAAAATTGCTGCAGCAAATAATACTGGCCGTACTGATATTTTCCCCTGTGCTCATTTTATTTCTTTAGAATAAATTCTTTGGAGGGGGCATATAAACTTAAGTGTGTTACTTCACCACAGCTTTGGGCATTAACCCTCTTTCCCACATTTTTCTTTCTTTCTTTTTTTTCTCCAAGTTATAGGTCTTGCTTTTCTTTCTCCCCAACAAGTTAATCCTCATTTCCTCTGAATGCTGCCTCTGATTTACTGAAAGAATGATCCGAATCAAACTGGAGGCCATTCCAAAGGGTGGCTATCTGAAAGGAGCACATTTTCTAACCAGTTATACCGCTTTATGTGTAACAGGAGGGGGATAGAAAAAATTTTAAATTCTTTATGGGATTACTAGGTGCAATTTGGCATTGATAATTCATCTGCAAAATTGAGTAATTTTGTAGGTTTACTACTAGAATAGATGTAAATAGTGCTAGTTAAAGATTTCTAGTTTTGTTACTTTAACATAAATACATTTTCTATACCAAGAATTCTAGTTAGTGGAATCTAACTGACAATTTGCACTTAAAGAGAAAAAATAACATTCACTCATACTTAAAGTTTCAAGGCATTTCCCAGAGTCCTTATGTGTGTTAGCCTATTGTCCTTTTATTGAGCATTCTTAGTCTGCCTTTAAAAATATTAAAAGTCTCTGTCTTTTAAAATCTTCAGGCACAAAGGGCTTTATGTTTAATTTAATGGAGGCCTTTTGTATTCTGAAAAGAATCCTAAGAAATTCAAGTCTTTGGACTTTTGAGTATGACCTCATAAAGCTTCTTAGAAATTGTGAATCCTTCATCTTGAATTGTTTAACATTTTACTAAAGATCACTTATGATAAATCATTTAAGTACAAAAAGAGAGAATAATCTCTGGAGGTGTGTTTTGTTTTTTTTCCCTGCTGTTTTTAGGACTTGAAGGAACAGACACTTCATTAATTTCAGTTTTGCAGTTTCGCTATTGTCGAAAGAGAATTTATTCCTAGTTGATCAGTTAGTGGCAGAATTAAAGAGTGCAGAAACTGTGATTACTAGACTTTCTCATCTAGACACACATTTATATATAAGTTTATGTTTTAAAAAGTCATCTAATATGATTTGATTTATATGAAAAGTCCAGAAAAGTCAAACCTGTAGAGACAAAATAGATTAGTGATTTCCAGGGGATGGGGAGAGCAGGGAATGGGGATTTTCTGCTAACGTAGTGATTTTCAATTTTTTTCATCTCACGGCACACATAAACTAATTACTAAAATTCTGTAGCACACTGAAAAATATATTTTTTGCTGACACGACAAAAAAAACAGGTAGAATTTTAATTAATTTAAACAGCGTACAGCTATTGTGTTGGCTGTTGTCATTTTTTTAATTTGACAATGTTAAGGAAAATAGGTCTGTGCCCCTGACTAAATAGTCAGATATTGCATGTTTTAAAAATTTTTGTGGCACACTGGTTGAAAATCGTTGTGGTAAGGGTTTTTTTTATTGTAGGGGGTGATGAAAATGTTCTTGTTAATATACTAAATATTCCAATTATATACTTTGACATCATGAATTTTATGGTGTGTGAATTATATCTCAATAAAAAAAGCTATAGGGCAGTTATCCACTTTTTATTTGTAGCACGATTCAAGAAGAAATATTAATTAGCCAACTAAAGTGCATTGTGATCAGTGGTAACAGACCAGCCGGTAAGCTGTCAAATAGCAGCGTAACTATGGGATCCTACACATGAGTGATTCAGGCCACAAATGCTGCAAGAATTCAGAGGCAAGAGCATTCAACCTGAGTGGAAACCGTACCTAGGACAGCTTCACAATCCTTTCTCCTGCATCTCTTTGCCCTTGTGGAAGAACAACCTCTCTCTCTCTCTCTCTCTCTCTCTCTCTCACACACACACAGTCACACGTGTGCCCATGCACACACGCGCACCAAGACATGCACTCTCTTCTATCTTTGAAGCTCTGTAGTTCTTAGAACCTCTTCTGTGACATATACACTACTAACTTAATCTCTGCTTCCTGCAGAAAGTGAGCTCAAGGGCTGGAACTGGGTTTTATTTATCTTCTTATTGTTATTGTCTAATATTTTGTCCTGTACATAACAAGTGCTTCATAGTTGTTGACTTGAATTTCACCAATAAGACATTTCTGAAAGCAACATTATCTCAGCACATATAGGTTATGAATAGCACAGCTTCTTTAATAACATGATTAAATCATTTGATTATAAAGAGAATGGTAACTGTGTTTGCAGGTCATGCCTCCCAGATGGAACATTGAATGTTTTGGTTTCATGAACAAAAGCTTAAATTTTGGAAGCAGAGTTCTGATCCCCTCTCTGCCACTTAGTATCTTTGTTTTGTTCAAGTTCTTCACCCTTCTGTAAGCTTTAGTTTTCTGTCTATAAAATGGGATGATAATAGTTATCTCCCTGGGTGGTTTTGTGTATTAAACAATGATGACAATCGTGTCAGTTACTTACTGAGCACTTTCTGTTAGCAAGTGGCCAAAAAAGTATATTATGTTTATCATGAGATAGCAATGTGTGGTGTGTGGGAGTGAAATTCAGTATCTATCATGAGTTCTATTGGAGATGAGAATTTCTGACAAGCTGGTCATATCTTGTGTGCATCAGTTTTTCTGTCTTACGTGGTTATGGGAAATTACATTAATAGATGCTTTCAATTTAGTCATAGGTTCTATTCTGATATCCTGTTATATTTTTTCTTCTAGGATCTGAAGAAGTACCACTTCTACTACTGGTTTTGCTCTCCCGCTCTCTGCCTTCCTGAGAGTATACCCCTCATTCAGGCACCAGTGGGCTTGGATCAAAGGTTTTCACCAAAACAGGTATCAACAAATAAAGCAAAATGCAGGTACAATTGGGTTTAACGTGCAAGCTCAGTTTATCTAGTACATTCTAAAGACAAATAGGCACTTGTCTGAATGAAGAGGTAGTCACTGTGAAATCTTCCAAAGATGGTACTAGCAGACTTATTTCCAAAATGTTTGTAAAATCATTTTGAAGAATAGTGAGCAATAATTTTCCAGGTTTTCTATGACATTTGGTAAAATTCTAAGCCAGTAGGGAGGAATTATAGGAACATTTTAAAAAGACTGTAAGAATTTTCTAAAATGTGGTCTTCACTTCAGTGGGGGGAATCATAAGGCAATATAACTTTGGGATGAGGGTCTTTGAAACCAAATAGAAGACATTCTCCTTCCCTCATACCAAGTTGCAGAACTTCTGCATCAGGAATGGTACATGCAGAGCTAGTTTTTGCAGTTTAAGAAAGATAATAAGGTCATTAGAGACGGTCCCGGGAAGAGCAATGAAAATAATCAGGCTGATAGAACACAGACCCTAAACCAAAGAATTCTGACTGTTACTGAAGCAAAAATTGAGTGGCAAGATGATTTGAATTCATGAAGCACATTACTCGCTAAAACCCTGAATTCTGAAGCCAGGGAGCGCTTACTGATTAAAAAATAATGTTTGTTTACTAAGAAAAATCAAAGGTTGTGGTTTTGTGGAACTAATTCCCCAAGGAGAAATATAAGTTGGGGGAAAGGATTATGCATGGGGATTGACTGCTGATGGGTGTGAGGTTTCTTTTAGAAGGGACAAAAGTGTCCTCAAATCATTTTGGTTACAATTGCATAATCCTGTGAACATGCTAAAAACAGCATTTAATTGTATACTGTAAATGGGTCAATTGTTTGGTAAGTGAATGTGTCTCAATAAAGTTGTTAAAGATTATGGAAAGGTTCAGGGTAAAATTCAGCAATGGTAGAGTCATGCTTGGTTATCCTAGAAGAGGAATAATGTTTGGATACCTCTCTCAACCTTTGTGGTTTACATCTTAGAGAACCACCATGCTGTACCATAAAATGTCGCTTTGTGCCCCTAAGACACACCATCATACATGTGAAAAATGTTATGTAAAAGTGAAGTGACATTTATGGTCATTTGCTGCAAAAGAGTAATGGGTGTGATCAGTCATTTCTAGTCCTCTGGCTTGAAATTACTTTTTATTTTATGTTAATTTTTAGCTCAGAACCAGATATGTGATTCCTGGAAAATAACTCAATGTTTCCTATTTTCAGATTCAATCCCTTGAGTACGCATATGATGATCTTTGTCAAGCTGAAGGCGTTCCAGCGCTACCTTACTTCTTAATCAAGTATAATGAGAACACGGTGCTGGTTTCCTTGCTTAAACACTACAGTGATTTCTTCCAAGATCAAAGGACAAAGGTCAGAGAAACTCTGAGTATCATTTTATTATCTAGTAAAAAAAAAACAACACCCGACATTCACGTTAGGATAGACCACTGCAAAATTCACACTCATTGATTTCTTTAGCCCTCCAATGAATGTTTCAGAACATTTCATTGTCTTCACCCTCTTCCACCCTGCAGTTCCCAGATCAGCTCCTGCTCTAGATTTTTCTAGCTCTGTTGCACCTCAGAGTAATTTTTGATTCCTTGCTTCCCATTAGTGATGAAGTTATTTCAGTTTTCCTTCCCAATATATTTTGTATCTATGTTTTAATTTATTCCCAGAGCTACCACTAAAGCTCAGGCCCTGATTATCTCACTCCTGGACAGGAAGAGTCTTCTTACTTCCATCTTGCACAGCGCTACTGAAAAAGGGCCTTCCTCAAACTGCTCACATTCTCTATATCTTCATTGATCAAGGGTTAATGGCGTCTTCCTTCTGACTCCAAGCTAACTTTCCTGCCTTGTATTTCACCACCTTCTTCTTAAACCATTGCTGCAAATAAGCTTGTCTGTATTTTATCAGACAACCCCCCTGCAATCAACTATATCTAGAACCTTTTCTATATCTCTCTTTATCCTCATGTTATATCATCTTCCTGAAACATATTCTATCTGTGAAAATCCTAAGAAACTCTTTTTATTGAAATTCTACCTCCACTGTGAAGCCTTCTCATGGTGGGGCCATGTGTAACCTAAGCTTTTCTGATCTCATGGCACTTATTCCCTGATCCTCATTTTCTACACAGCTCCATTCTACAAATTACTTTTTGTTAGTCTGTAAGCTCATAGAGGGCAGGGACTATGTCTACATTGTGTCTAGCATCTTAGGCACTCAATAAAATTTTGAATGAATGAAAGAATAATGTAAGTGTCCTTTACAGGTGATGAATATATAGTAAGCTATCTTAACCATACAAGAGATTGTAAATTAAAAATTAAAAATTGATTAGTATTATGAATTTGAAATCAACTGTGTAATTTTAATAGCCATGTAGGTCACTCAGAACTGAGAGGAGAGAGACCTCTAACTGATGGTCTGATTATTCCTTAGCCTGAATTTAAGATACCTTTTTTTAAAATATACTCTTTTTCAGAGGAAGCCCTTTTTAAATTGATGACTGAGGATTGAAGTTTTATTAAAATTCTTTTCTTTCCCCCCAGGCAGTTTCACAGAACTGTAGCTAAATTAGTAGCAATGAGACCAACCATTAATAATTTAAAGTCTAGTCTAAAGTGAGGTCCTGTTGTGATAGCAGGCAGGATTAAATGGCCTGTGTTTGAAGGCAACTGTAATTCAGGACGTGTGTGGTAAATAATACGTCCTCCCCCAAAGTGCACCTCTACCAAAATAATAACTGTTTGCAGAGCATTTTACTGTTTAAAAGGGGCTTTAACACAATTGACCTTGCAATAACTTTGTGAAATAGGTGTTATTAGTGTCTGCATTATCTATTTAATGAAAATGAGACTCAGAGTCAGATGGCCAAGTGGTCCGATTCCAATCTCCTGTGCTTTCTTCCAGTCCATTCTCTCATCATTTGGGCAGAGATTGGCCTTTGGAATCAAATAGATCTGGATTTGGCACCCAACATTGCCATTTAGTAGCTTGGTGACTTTGGGGAATTTGCATGATCTTTCTTTAGTTTAGTCTACCTGTTGAACAGTGGTAATACTACCTCCTATAGGCTTTGTAAAGGTCAGACAAGATAATGTAAATAAAATGCCCAGCAGGTGCTTAGTATGCATCCACTTCCTTTCTTCCTCAACAGCAACATCTTTTCAAGGACTGAACAAATCTCTGGAGTCTCCTTTGAAGTTCTCTGGGCAAGTTTACCAGTGTCCTGACCCTGAGACCAACCACCTGCCAAGTTCAGGCGTAGAGGTCTTCACTGGGTTAGGGTCACATCTCAGGAAAGCCTAGAATTGCTCAGCGCGTGTGTTCTCACAGAACCTGAGGTTTTCTAGGGAGATGAGACGTGACTTGTGGAAAGTTAACGAGAAATTCAGCTAGCAGAAGAGAAGTGCCAATGAAATTATATGGATGATACTTTGGTTGTTTATCTGTGCCCTGTCTGGTTCTAGAAAGGTTCACCAGAAACTGTGCAGATGGGTGGCCTTATAGGAATTTCACGGCCTCCTAGGTGACCTCCCCATCTGTGGTCCTGAATGTCTTATCCATCCCTCACAGTGCTGCCCAAATGCATTTTCTAACATGTAAATTTGATCATATCAATTTTCTACTTAAAACTGTTCTATGGTTCCTGTTGACTTCAGGATAAAGTAAAACAAATTAGGTTGGCATTTGGGGCCTCTTCAAACCAGTTCCCGCCTATCTAGCTTCATCTCCCAATATTCCCTCAGGATGCATCCTATGTTCTGGCTATAACTGTGCTTTCCAAATGCCCCATGCTTCCCCCAACCTCTACCTTCAGACATGCCTTTCTCTCTGTCTCCCTTCCTTCACCTGTTTAGGATCTCACTCGCTTTCTGGTTCATCACTGTTTGATAGCCTTCATCTATGTTCAGGTAGCAGCCTTTCTCCTAGCACTGACTGAGCTCTCATGTCATTGTTGGTTTATCTGCCGGCCCCCTCTCCCTGACCAGCCTGTGGACAACTTTAGCACAGAAATCACGTTTGACCCCACACTGAGTCCTCAACATTTAGTGGAATGCCAAACACTTCATGGGCACCTGATGTGTGAATGTTGAGAGGAGGAGAGACCATTTTGGACTGGTCTAGCCACAGTCCAGTTCTACTGGGAAAGTAGATCTCTGTATAATCTAAACATCACTTCATTTGAAGTCATTCCTGCTTTAATTGTTATTAATCTAGTTCACTGTTTTACATAAAGTTCTCTTTAGTGTTTCTGATTCATGAAGTGTCCTTGAAGGCTTTTGCCCTGACCTTCAAAAAATAGGCATTCTTTTCAGTGTGAACTCCTGCAGTTGTGCTCTGGCTTCGTGTTTTACTCTTTTATCTGCCTCCTCCACTTACGAGCACTTTGAAACCCCTGGGGAAGTCACTGTTTCTCTGAGAGCCTTGGTGTCCTCACATGTAAGATGGAGAAATGTTGGCATCCCTCCAAGTTTCTCACTTTTCAGTCTGTTTTCTTTTCTGGGGGATCTCTTTGTGCTCGCGATGCCTGTAACCACTTCCTCCATTATGCCCCCTCTGGACCCCAGACCATGTTATCCAACTGCCTGCTTTCTCCAGCCCCTCAAATTGAATATCTTCAAGCTGAACTCATGATCTTCATCTCAGATCTGGTCTCCTTCTGGGCATCAATGTCTTGTAGTGATACCACCTCCCATCTAGTCACGAGAGCCAGAAATCGGGACAGCCTACCCCTGAAGAGGGCACACTGCCCACTTAGCCAGCAGCAGCTTCAGCTACTGTGTCCTAAGTTCTGACTATGTGCCCACCATAGAGCTGGTTCCTTCAACACCCTGCAAAGTCAATAGGATTGTTCCCATTTTATAGATGAGGAGAAGGGAAACGAGGCTAGGAAATGGAAGCCTCTTCACGTGTGAATGACCTTACCTTCTACAGTCAGAATGCTTCCCGTAATGGAAAAAGAAGCAGTCACTTTTCTCTCACTAGCTCACAGCATGTTGTGATCGAGTAGGAAGGCCAGATTTTGGGTCCCAACTGCAACTTCATGAGCTAAGGTCTCTGAGTCTCAGTTCCCTCCTCATGTCCAAGTGTACAAGTAATAATACCCTCTTCCTCATAGATGGTTGTGAGAATTAAGAGATGATAGATATAAACAGGCTTTCTTAAGTTTTATTCACATGTTACAGTTGTTCCCACTGTATTTTCTAAGAATAAGTTTGTCAGTTTTCATTTTCAAAGGAAAATTCTTTCTTTGAATTAACTTCAGTCTCTAGCTACTCTATAAGAATGGAATATTGAGACCCTGAGTCATGCTGCCAACTTTTGCCTTTACCAAAGAAAGGCAAACTTCCTTGCCTTTTTGGATTTCAAAAATATCTGAAGAAATTAGGAGTAGTCCACCTGCAGGAGAAGCCCTCCTGAGATTTGCAGAGATATTAATTCAGAAGTCCCTAGATGATCCAGGAAGGTTTTTACCAGTTCAGTGCTTTCTTTAAATTAAAAATCAGTAGCAAATGCATCTTTGATTGGTTTTCTCTCATTTCTTGGCTGACTTATGGTTGTTAAGATGATTGCTTAAGGCCAAACTTTGACTGTTACTGATAGTTAAAAATACCTGTTAAATTATGACTCAATGATCATATTTATGTGTGTCTTCAGATGTATATACACATATGGTTAACTAAAACAAAAGTTTAACAAAATAATACTTTACTAGGTGCTTATTTTCTACCCTATTCTGTTTTATCTTTTTGAAAAATGCTAGTTGTGACCCACTAAATGATTTAGGACTCACAAATAGCTTATCACCTGTGTTTTGGACAATGCTGTGTACCTATTTTTAGGATACTAGCAGATAAGTGAACTGTACTAGGCATGGTTCCATTCATTATTTTTATTTATACTTGTGTCTTTTTATTTTTGAAGTATTACAAAGCTCCTCAACTATTTAAGTTTTTGGATTTTTTTAAAGTAAGCGTTTTATATATTTCCTTCTGATTTTTTTCTGCCTATTTTTTAACAACTAAGATTCTGTTTTATTGTAGCAGTTTAGCTTAATAGTATTATACTCCTCAGTTCCCTCCTCATATCAACATCCTTTTAAATAGATATATTTGGTAATTTATTTTACCAAATTATTCACATTTAGATTTCTCATAATTATTTACTATTAGGAGCTTCTTTGTGCATGAAATTCCTCCCCTCCTTCCTATTTTAAATTATTTCCTTAGATTTCTAGATGTGGAATTACTGGGTTGAAGAGTTTGAACATCTTAAGGCTTGTAATCAGTGATGTGCTGGTGAATGTTTGACATTTGGCTTTTGGGTTAGGGGGACCCTGATTTTGTAGTGTTTGCTTA